GATTCGATTCGATTCGATTCGATTCGATTCGATTCGATTCGATTCGATTCGATTCGATTCGATTCGATTCGATTCGATATGAATCGTCAAAATGTTATTAAAATTGTCTTGAAAAAATCATAAAATACCCTAGAGCCTAGGTGTGCATCATTGATGGTGGATGCGCTGATGGGGAAAATTCATAACAAATTGCAAAAATTAAGCTGACGTATGTAAATTCTCAACCCGTGGCTCAATAATTCATTACGTTGACGCTTGTTTTAGTTATGAATCAATCCTCAAAATCTGCTTGTTCTTGTAAGTCTTCAAGGAGTAAAAAAGGTATTTAAGTAATAGTTTCAAAAGTGAGAGCAAGAGTGGGAACACTTACAGTTTATTCGTTTAACTTACCCTAGTAACCCAGTCCATGCCAACAAAAGCCAAGACAAGGATAAGAACAAGAGTAACAACTCCAATAATCCTCACGTCGTTCAGTCGGTTTTCAAAATCTGCATCCACAATACCAGACCAACCAGGGATATAATCCTAAATTGAAGATATCATACAGTAGGATTCAACCAGGGATATAATCCTAAATTGGAGATATCATACAGTAGGATTCAACCAGGGATATAATCCTAAATTGAAGATATCATACAGTAAGATTCAACCAGGGATATAATCCTAAATTGAAGATATCATACAGTAGGATTCAACCAGAGATATAACCCTAGATCAGGAATATAATACCAGATCAGACATATTGTACAGTAGGATTCAACCAGGAATAAAAAATACCAGATCAGAGATATTGTACAGTAGGATTCAACCAGGAATATAATACCAGATCAGAGATATTGTACAGTAGGATTCAACCAGGGATATAATACCAGATCAGATATATTATACAGTAGGATTCAACCAGGAATATAATACCAGATCAGAGATATTGTACAGTAGGATTCAACCAGGGATATAATACCAGATCAGAGATATTGTACAGTAGGATTCAACCAGGAATATAATACCAGATCATAGATATTGTACAGTAGGATTCAAGCACGGATATAATACCAGCTCAGTGATATTGTACAGTAGGATTCAACCAGGGATATAATACCAGATCAGAGATATTATACAGTATTAGGATTCAACCAGGGATATAATACCAGATCAGAGATATTTTACAGTAGGATTCAACCAGGGATATAATACCAGATCAGAGATATTATACAGAAGGATTCAAGCACGGATATTATCTTAAATCAATGTTGTTATATACAGAGCGTCCCATATCATATTAGATTATCTCCAAGTTTCAACACCAAAAAACCCCATAATACTCGAAAAACCTATAATTTTCCTCAAGAAAATTCTTATATTAACCTTATTCAATTTTTTAAAATGATTCATTCTTCTTAAATTTTCTGATTAGTCCCAAAAATCGTAATTTAGACCGATTGACGATCTAATATGATGTGGGAAACCCTGTAGTAGGATTCAACCAGTGATATAATCCTAGATCAGGGATATAATACAGTAGGATTCAACAATGGATATAATCCTAGATCAAGGATATTATACAATAGGATTCAACCAAGGGATATAATCCTAAGTTAAGGATATTATAAAATAGGATTCAACCAGGGATATAATCCAAAGTTAAGGATATTATACAGTAGGATTCAACCAGGGATATAATCCTAGATCAAGGAGATTCAACCAGGGATATAATCCTAGATCAAGGATATTATACAGTAGGATACTACCAAAGATATAATCCTAAATTAAGGATATTATACAGTAAGATTTAACCAGGGATATAATCCTAGATCAAGGATATTGTACAGTAGGATTCAACCAGGGATGTAATCCTAGATCAAGATATTATACAGTAGGATTCAACCAGGGTTATAATCCTAGATCAAGGATGTTATACAGTAGGATTCAACCAGGGATATAATCCTAGATCAAGGATATTATACAGTAGGATTCAACCAGGGATATAATCCTAGATCAAGGATATTATAAAGTAGGATTCTAACAGTGATATAACCCTAGATCAAGGATATTGTACAGTAGGATTCAACCAAGGATATAATCCTAGATCAAGGATATTATACAATAGGATTCAACCAGGGATATAATCCTAGATCAAGGATATTATACAGTAGGATACTACCAAAGATATAATCCTAAATTAAGGATATTATACAGTAAGATTTAACCAGGGATATAATCCTAGATCAAGGATATTGTACAGTAGGATTCAACCAGGGATGTAATCCTAGATCAAGATATTATACAGTAGGATTCAACCAGGGTTATAATCCTAGATCAAGGATATTGTACAGTAGGATTCAACCAGGGATATAATCCTAGATCAAGGATATTATACAGTAGGATTCAACCAGGGATATAATCCTAGATTAAGGATATATATACAGTAGGATTCTACCAAAGATATAATCCTAAATTAAGGATATTATACAGTAGGATTCAACCAGGGATATAATCCTAGATCAAGGATATTGTACAGTAGGATTCAACCAGGGATATAATCCTAGATCAAGGATATTATACAGTAGGATTCAACCAGGGATATAATCCTAGATCAAGTTTATTATACAGTAGGATTCAACGGTGCTATGGAAACGCCTCAACACTGAAATGAGGAAACCGATCAGCAAACTGAGAATTTACAATTTTTTTGGAAATCGGAAACGAACCCAAAAAAATGAGGAAACGGACCCAAAAAAAGAGGAAACCGATCAACAAACTGAGAATTTGAAACTTTTTTTAAAAACCGGAAACGGGCCCAAAAAAGAGGAAACGGACCCAAAAAAAAAGTGGAAACCGATCAACAAACTGAAAATTTACAGCTTTTTCTGAAAATTGGAAACGGACCCCAAAAAAGAGGAAACGGACCCAAAAAAAGAGGAAACCGATCAACAAACTGAGAATTTAAAACTTTTTCTGAAAATCGGAAACGGACCCAAAAAAAGAAGAAACGGACCCAAAAAAAAGGGGAAACCGATCAACAAACTGAGAGTTTAAAACTTTTTCTGAAAACCGGAAACTGACCCAAAAAAAAGAGGAAACGGACCCAAAAACGGGAAACGAATCAAATGTAAATATAGCGGAATCCGACCCAAAATATTCAAAAATCCCTCTACACTTTTTAGTTTTTGAGGGATTTCCGATAATTCTTGAAAAAAGAAGGAAACGGACCCAAACTCACTTTTGGGTCCGTTTCCGTGTTGAGGCGTTTCCATAGCACCGATTCAACCAGGAATATTATCCTAGATCAAGGATATCATACAGTAGGATTCAACCAGGAATATAATCCTAGATCATGGATATAGTACAGTAGGATTCAACCGGGGATATAATCCTAGATCAAGGATATAGTACAGTAGGATTCAACCGGGGATATAATCCTAGATCAAGGATATTATACAGTAGGATTCAACCAAGAATATAGTCCTAGATCAAGGATATTATACAGTAGGATTTAACCAGGGATATAATCCTAGATCAAGGATATTATACAATAGGATTCAACCAGGGATATAATCCTAGATCAAGGATATTGTACAGTAGGATTCAACCAGAAAATAATCCTAGATCTTGGATATCATACGGTAGGATGTCAAGCAATCCTTTATAAATTCTCCTTGGATTTAAAACTAATTAAAACCCCAATTTTCAAAACAAAACCTGCGTTAAACCTCAATATGAAGGTCTAACACTGCCTATTATGTGGATATTAAACTTCATGGTCAAATAAGACTCATCAATCCATGGTCTTCAGGCGTTATTTTACATAGTAATACTTTACGAAATTAGGCAAGATATTCAGGGTAACCTACACCATAACTAAATATTAAAACAAAAAGGAAAAAAAAATCACGATAAACTTAAGTGATATCAACTTTAATTATTTTTTTTCCAGATTATTCATTTTTATTAATATTTTTCATACTTTTGTAAGCTGGGGTGGGAGACGGAGCGGGGATGGGGTTTCTATTAATACTTCTCAAAAAATTCAGTTATTTTCTTCCAAAAGATATTTCTTACAAATAAATATGTGATATATAAAAATAAAGTTAACCTGGAACATGTCTAGTAATATGTGATATATAAAAATTAAGTTAACCTGGAACATGTCTAGTAATATGTGATATATAAAAATTAAGTTAACCTGGAACATGTCTAGTAATGATTCTGCAAACCCGATGATGTACATAGACACAGCTATACTGTTAGCCAAGGTAAACATCAAACCTAACATACATTCAAGGGTCATCAATATTCTTTCTAGTGTTGTAAAGGGTCTGAAAATGTAATTGTTAGTGCCCCCCCATACATTTATTCTGTTACAAGTTGGATGAATAACCGAATCCTTTGTCTTTATCTTCCACATTATTAAGGTTTTAAGCAGTGCTGAGTATCCGGATCAGTTAGACCGCAAGATTTTGGCTTCCTGGATCCGGATCCGCAAAAATATGCGGATCCACGGATCCGGATCCAAAGGGAAAAATATCAACCAAAAACTCAAAAAAAATTACTCCAAAAACCCAAATCTGAACTATTAAAAATGAGAGATTTTAAGATCTTCCTGAATTCTGAATGGTTCATCAAGTTAAAGCATAAAAATAAGCGAACAAAACAAGACAAAAAATTTGAAAATTCTGCTTTGTTAATAAAATTCAGTAAATTTTAAAGAAATAACCTGGATCCGGATACGGATTTGGATCCGGATCCATTTTTTTCCAGTGCGGATCTAGGATGCGGATCCGGATAAAAATTAAAAAGATCCTAAGCACTGGTTTCAAGTTTTTTTTTAGTTTTTTTTTTTGGTTCACTTGAAATTACGCTTTGAGTCCCTTTCAACTTAAAAACATAATAAATGTATTAAAATTGAATCTAAAAAAGTTTGATTTTATATTTGATTATTATTAATTACAGTTCCAACCCGCAGTTCGGCCTATTTTTACCAATGAGTGTTAGAAACGGGACAATTTTTCTTTTTCAAGAGCTTTAAAACCGAGTTGAAGAAAACTGCAGCATACCTTTTTTGAAGAACAATGCTATTTTTAAAACATAAATTTGTAAATTTAAGATTTTAGTAGTCATTAAATACTAAGCTGAGCTTTTTGGTAAAGCAAAATTATTAAATAATTAAGAACAAGTTCCGTGGAACATATTTATTTATAAAAATGAATATTTTACTTACCAATAGCGCCACCAAACTCCGGTCCAAGAGCTCTGGATATCATGAAATATATGCCTCCGCCCTGTACACTCAAAGATTCAAGTTTCAAGTAAAAACGTTTTAAATTAAAAAAAAATAATTATCACATTGCTTTTACTCTTCAACTTAATCTTTGCCTTGATTTGTCCGTTAGTACACACTGCGGACATGGATATTGTTGTGATTAAAGTGACAATATTTGCTAAAGTCATCACAAGTATACCCTGGACTAAAATATAAAATAGAGATGCCTTCTTCATTCACAACAGTTTTATGGGGGGGGGGGGGGTAATTTTATTATCTAACTAACCCGTTTTCTACAGGGCTCATTTAAACATGCTTTGTCAAGTATTTTACCCCTAAAGTTAACTTACCTTTATTGTAATTTTAAAATCTAAATAATCCATCCATCGTACATATGCGGCACACTGCATTTAATTAAATCTTAATCTTTTCCTTGATTTGTCCGTTAGTGCACACAGCTGACATTGATAAACTTGTAACTACTGTCACTACGTTGGCTAAGGTCATCACGAGAAGACCCTGGACTGAAATACAACAAGGATCCCTTTAGGGTCTAATACCTTGGTCAAGGGGCAGTTTTTCAGCTAATTTTACAACATATAATTAATCCTTTCTTAGTTTTAGCAAGTTTCAGGTCTCATTTTGAAATAACAGAGAAAGCAAAAGCAAAATACAATACAACTATAAAAACATATTTGTGTTTAAAATCATATTAGTATTTTCAATATTTTAGCATAAATTTTAATTTTAATCGCTTTTGTGATGAAAATGAAAATACAATGATCTCCATTAATGACATAAAAATGGTCACCTAATTTAACATGGTGATAATAATAAATACATATAATCGTGCTATTTTAGCTACATACATAGAACATATATTTTATTACGTGCACGTATTTTTCCCACCCAAGTTTCCAAATTTCCAATCATTAAAACAAGGAAACATCCCGAATAATATTTCTCTGGTGATTTTGCCCCAAAAAATCAAGAAAAATGATATTTTGTCTTTAAATAATTTAAAAATACAAGCAGGAGATAATTTATTGGGATAGTACTTTTGGGAAAATTGTGTAAGGAAAAAGTTCGCAACATTATTTAAACCATTAAAGATGCAAAATTGAACACAGTAAATGAATGCGATAAAATGATGTGTGTGCACAATGAATGAATCTGGGAAATAAATATGACACCCTTCTTCCGAACTTGTCATGTCGAATGATAAAGCATACCATAGATATATTTTTTATCTTGATCTTTCCCTTAATTTGACCGTTGGTGGCAACAGCCGACATGGATATAGCGGTGACAAGGGTTACAAGATTGGCAGTGGTCATCACCAGCAACCCTTGCACTAAAAATGAAAATGAACAAATGAAAAAATTAAAAATGGATAAATAAAGCAATGAGCAAATGTACAACTGAACCATCAGCAATCAACTAAACAAATGAGCAAATGAACAAATGAACAAATGAACAAATAAGCAAATGAACAAATGAACAAATGAACAAATGAACTGATGAAGGGATGAAGGGTTGAAGATGTGAAGGGATGAACAGATGAAGGGATGAAGGGATGAACAAATGAACAATATGAACAAATGAACAAATGAACAAATGAACAAATGAACAAATGAACAAATGAACAAATGAACAAGTGAACAAGTGAACAAGTGAACAAGTGAACAAGTGAACAAGTGGACAAGTGAATAAGTGAACAAGTGAACAAGTGAACAAGTGAACAAGTGAACAAATGAACAATGAACAAATGAACAAGTGAACAGATGAACAAATGGAAAAATGAACAAATGAAAAAATGAAAAAATGAACAAGTGAACAAGTAAACAAGTGAACAAATGAACAAGTGAACAAATGAACAAGTGAACAAATAAACAAATGAACAAATAAATAATGATTGAACGAGCTCAAAGAGATGAATATCAATTAACCAGTGAAGAAGTAAATAATTAGTAAGAAGAGAAATGAATAAATGAATGTATAAATGAAAAGATCAAATGAAGTATACAGATGTGAACTTGAAGAAGTAAATAGAAATGAGTCCGAAGATAGAAGTGTTCTAGAATCAACGTAGATGTTTGTACTCTCGTGGTTATAATCGCTGGTCATACGTTAAATATACGTCATAACGTAGTTAACGTAAGTTAAATTAAAAAGCAGAAAAAAAATTGATTAAAGCAAGCATGCAAATATCTAAAAGCAGAATATTCAGGAAATTACAAAGGGATTGAGTCTTCGCCACAAACTCTGATTTTTTATCCATATATCTTTGAAACCCAATGTCGTATACTTTAGATATTTTAAACTATCAATTCTGCTGGATGAAATAAAACATAAGTTTAAAATATAAAAGGATTGCACCATTAGGTTGCAAAGATGTAGGGATTTTGTTATATTTTGTTTCATAGAATCAATTCCTTTCATATTAACCGTATATTCATATACAATAAAAAGTGTTAATGTAAGTTTTAAAAAAATAGATTCATGCAATATTAATTAAAAATTTTAAGTAATATTAAAAATAGACAGAATTATTACTCGAAGAAAGTAAACTATTTTTTTATGTTCAAAGAAAACTAGATGAAAGAAATTAAAAGAAGTATTTAAGAAAAGAATTCTTCAAATTTGGGAATTAAAGATGAGTGCACCTCTAGCTACTGAATAAGGAAACTAGGTTAAGGTGAAAAATTCAAAGAAAAAAGATTCAAAGATTTTAAAAAGTGGAAAAAACTTTCATGCAGTATTAAGAAATAATTTCAATTAGAAAATAAATAAAAATAAAGAATAAAAGGTCCAAGCTATTGTAAGCTGAAAAGAAGGTCAGGTAGTAAATCTACAAGATGACCTACCTATACCACACTGTCCTATGACCCAGGTCAAACGCAGGAACAACATGACACCCCAGATATTTAGCAAACATCTCATCTATAATAATATTGATGAACTACACACAGTGATAACCAAAAAACTCTGGAATAGGAAGATGAATTTTAGAATCAACTTTAAGAAGTCCAATGAGGATGAGACACAGAAATTGTGCAGTGTAAACAGACCCATTTTAAAAAATAAGTGGCTAGTTAAACTGTTCGCTTTGAATAACATCAATTAAGTTGATTTTTAGGTAGCTATTTAGAAAACTGCACATCGTGTGATGCATTTTAAGTATATTTGTATTTTATGGATTTTTGAATGAAAATTTAAAAATCTGTTTCTCTTGAATTTCTTTGAAATTTGTTTAATTTTACTTTAGTGAATTTACAGGGACAAAAACTTGCAGTTTTTTTCCAGAGAAATATAAAAATAAGATTAAAAATTGCATCTCAAAATATATATTTGCACTTGTAAAGATTTTCTTTGCAAATGTTTACACCATAGTCATCGGAATATTATGTACAAAAACACAATTGTGAGCAAATATTTAAATTTAAAATTGATGATTCAGATTTAAGTTGAAAAAGAACAAAAAACACAAATGTATTTTTGATCGTTTATTGAAGAAAAGAGAAAAGTAAGCCTAGAAATATGATTTTTTGTAAAGTTTTAATATGGTTTATACTTTTAATTAAAAATCCATTAAAACATTTTCTCATTTACTTTCTCTCAGTTGCTTCGTAGAAAGAAAGATGAAAAAAATAATTGATAATCCATTGAAAAAAAATAAGTGGTTTAGCCAAACAAAACTTTAAAAGGGCACGGCGACCTAAGAAAAAGTTTTTAAATTGTATGAAGCTCTATAGCAATTTTTAACCGCTGATTTTTTCTTTAATAGTACCCCGGCCCTGTCGTATAAAAAGTGTACTTACATAAACACCTTCGATCCATCCGAACTTAATAACCTTGCCCTTCTTCTGTCCTTCAACATCTCCGGCACCACTCTTAATAACGTATTTTTTCAAACTTTGTTTTGATTTTTTTATTTCCAAATTTCCAAATATTTAAGAATAATTCCTTCTGTAAAATTACAGTACATTAAATAATGAAAAAAAGGAATCGACTTTTTGCCACGAACTCAAATTTTTTAATCTCTATATCTTTACAACCCGATTTCGTCGACCTTGATATTTCAAACGATAAGTTATGGTAGAATAAGTATTAAGTAGTGTAAGTTTGAAATATAGGTTTACACAATTAGGTTGTAAAGATTTTGGGATAAGAAAATTTGTGTTTGTGGCAAAGACTCAATTACTTTAGAGCATGAATATCAAGACCGGCTCCGAGGGGGGGGGGGGTTGAACTTGCACATTTTTGGTTACTTTGGACCCAAATTTTTTTTAAATTCCGCGTTCGCAAAAACAATCCCTCTAAATGTTTTTACTGGGAACAATCAAGTTATTCGGTTTTTTTATCATAGACAAAATATCTTTCACACTTTTTCTAAAAGAATGAAAACAAAGAAATTTATTATTTTTGTGAAAAATAATCGGAAACGTCTTAACGTCTTTGATGATGAATTTTATGAGGTAATAAATAGAGGTTCAAAGCCATGCCATAAAAATATAAAATCCTTGCAATAAGTGGCTTTTTCTAACAAGTGTTGTATCATATATTGCTTGAGCCAAATATAGCTTTTATTGATATTATGTAGATATTAAAAAAATCATAAAAAATAAATATTAATATGTTTTTCACATGTAAAGTTTGTTTAAAATCCTCATGAGGGATTAATTAAAAAACATGACGCAAAAAAATTCTAAAATGAAGTTCAAGTTAAATAGAGAAATGACTGTAATACGATCTGTAATCCACAATGTTCTTCACCTTGCATTTACACTCCTAGGGGGGCTATTCTACGGCATGGGGGGGGGGGGGGGTAATATTACGGAACTTATGTTGTTGTTTTTTAATATTGATGGTTTCGGTAGTTTTAAAATTATATTAAAAGAAGTATACAGGGGGGGTTCGAACTTCTTTTTCTTGTAAAATGTTAGCTTTTAAATATTATTTATATCAACAAAAACAATCTCTACCTACATCGCAAAATAAAAGAAATTAACATTTTTTATGGCGGCGTTTCTTTTTATGATATGAACATTTTTTAAATGCAATATTTTTAATTTACGCCCGATAGGCTCGCGGTCATTATGATAAAACATACAGGCCAAGTATATGTTATAGATAAAGGATTTAAAGGAAATATATTTTTTATGAGTTTCGAAACAAAACAATTATAAATAATATGGATTTAATAAAGTCTTTTATACAAAGTGCGTCTCCGATGTCCGAGAATCCAATATAGGTATTGGTGTATTGGACATTGGTTAAAATATTCATTTACAAACTAGTTTTGCGGAAAATATTTTGATTTTACTTAAATATTATTAGTAAAAATTTGCTAATTTTTATAGTTTAAAGGAGCGTTAAAAAAGATTAGAAAATGACTTTTTTACTGAGCAAACCTAGGTTATTCAGAAAAATTTCCAAATGTTAAGAAAAATTCGGTCTGCTATTTAAATTTTGTTTCAGCTAAATTCGATTATGCTTGCAAAAATCAAATTAATCTAAAAATGCATGTTATCCAACAAAAAAATCTGAATAAAATATATTTCCTTATGCTTGGTTGATTTCCATTACAAGACAGGATTAAATTGCAAAATTTGATCCATTCTTTCGGAACATTTTGAGTAAAAACCTTGATATTTGGCGAGATTAGTCCGAATCTTACGTCACAAGCAAAAACTGAGGAAAATTCATGTTTCCTGTTTTCTTGTAATTTAATACTTTTCCAAATTAAGAAGTTGTCCCCTTTCCCCATTTTCCACGTAAAAAGAGTTAAATTCGTATTTTATGTATTCTATTCTGTTTTAAATATTTCAGATATATGTAACCCGTACATTCCATAGAATTCTATCTTAAATAAATATCATGAATAAAATTCAGGGGAAGGTGTTTCGAGTGAAAATATAAAATATAATATATAAAATATAAAATATAAAATATAAAATATAAAATATAAAATATAAAATATAAAATATAAAATATAAAATATAAAATATAAAATATAAAATATAAAATATAAAATATAAAATATAAAATATAAAATATAAAATATAAAATATAAAATATAAAATATAAAATATAAAATATAAAATATAAAATATAAAATATAAAATATAAAATATAAAATATAAAATATAAAATATAAAATATAAAATATAAAATATAAAATATAAAATATAAAATATAAAATATAAAATATAAAATATAAAATATAAAATATAAAATATAAAATATAAAATATANTTTCCCATAGCCCCCCCCCCCTGACTATACCTCTAATTATAATAGTTCTTTTGTTAAGAATGGTTCGTAATATCAAACAACAATTAGAAGTTGTGCCGGTTTATGTTTCTAGGACTTAAATAGGTGTTTGTACGGTTTACATTTAGCACTTGTAGCCCCCCCCCAGGATACGCACAGCAGGGGGTGCAAATCTGACAATGCACCCACAAATACTTTTAGAAAATATTAAATGACATTCTTTTGTGTTAAATTTTTTTTAAGTGAGAAAAAAAACTTAAAGGTCTAGACCTTAAAACAGTGTTTTCCAACATTTTAAGATCTCCCCCAGCCCCCCCCCCTTATTTGCACGTTTGCGGTTTCATGTTGACTTGGTAGTTCAAGTGTTTTTATGCATGTAGCATGAAATCATTATGCATAGATTCTACCCGAATGCAAACTAAATGCCAAGAGAAACTTGAATTTTCTTTCTAACCATCTGTAGTATTAAAAAACACGACTATCCACTCGTCAGATTGAATGGATGAGAATGTGCAAATTGAGTAAATGTGAAAACCTTGCTTATGTGAAAGGAATTGAGTATTTGCCACAAACTCAAATTTTTTATCTCTATATCTTTGATACCTGATAGTGTAACCTTAGATATTTTAAACTTAGATTAGATACTTGATCAAACAGAATATACATAGTTTTAAATGTCATAAGGTCGACGCTATTGGGTCGCAAAGATATAGAGATTAGTAAATCAGAGTTTGTGGCAAATACTCAAATCCTTTAATAATTTATTGACGAATTTTCCGACAAAAGATGTGTTGTTTGAAATTACACCTTTTACATATATTTGTTTGCACAATGAATGTCTTAACTAATACATTTTGTTTAAAGATGTGCGGGAGAAAATTGCTTGTACGTACAGCAACAGAAATACTAAAATTATGAACAGAAAAGGGGGTCGGGAGCGCACTAAATTCCTGGTCATTGACAAATAAATTAAAAAAAATATTTTAATGGAAACTATAAAATGTTCTACCTGTTCTGGTTTACTGTACTCTTCGTCCCTCAGTTCTTCAATCGTCGGCCTTTGTCCCTTGCCACTATTTCTACCAAAACTCATCAAGTTCCTTGAGAAAATACAAGAAAGACAGATAATGAGAATCCTTCCATGTTTATAGAGATGAACAGCAAAAAGGGTTTGTACTTATTTGTAAACTCAAACCAAAAAAGAAACTCAAATACGGTTCTATATTTGCTCACTGCACGTTTACAATTTTTGTGCATTAAAAAATTATTTTACCCGAATTGTCAAAATTGTACATTTAAAAAAGGGTCAAATTTTTAACTAATGAGAATAAAAAATTTGTGAAGACTTAAATGCGCTAAATTTTGGAAGTTAAAATATAAAATTTAATAAATTTACATATCTACAAACAATTATTAAAACTTTTCTAAAATACAATAATTGTATAAATATATATGTATTGTATATGAGGTTATTAGATAGAAATTCTATCCTAACATATTCAGTATCCTAATTAATTTCACTTCCTAAATCATGATCATATGAATGTATCTATCTTTCTTATATATTAACAAATAATAATAGTTTTCAATCTAATTGTTTATTATTCTTTCAATTTATGTACCACGACTATTAAAAGTGTCAATAGATACATTTAAATATCTATAATGTATAAATAATTCAAATTCAGTGTAAATGATAGCGTACTTGAAATTAGTTTCATCGTATCATAAAAATAGTTTAATAAATATTAAATTTTAAAGTAATTCTAAAAGTTGTATGTTTGTATGAACATGCATTGTAAAATGTACATGAATTGTACAATGTACATGCATTGTACACTGAACATGCATTGTAAACAGTACATGCATTATACACTGCACATGCATTGTACACTGTACATGCATTGCACACTGTATATTAGTAGTAGAACGTAAAATCAATATATAAAAATGTGCGAAATACATCGTACAAAACTTAATAAGTACCTGTAGTTGTTCTCTGCAGGAAGAGCCTCTCTAGTGAGATAATATCTTAGAGATTTAGCATACTGAGTAAACTGTACGGTGTCCTGTTCACGGTACGGGTTGTCCTCCTAAAAGTACAGATTTAGCAGTGAGTAAACTGTACAGTGTCCTGTTCACGGTACGGGTTGTCCTCCTAAAAGTACAGATTTAGCATACTGAGTAAACTGTACGGTGTCCTGTTCACGGTACGGGTTGTCCTCCTAAAAGTACAGATTTAGCAGTGAGTAAACTGTACAGTGTCCTGTTCACGGTACGGGTTGTCCTCCTAAAAGTACAGATTAGCCTTCAGTATTTTATAACAATTTACACTGTACAATTTTAAATGTCCTTCGACTACTTTTCATTTCACGAACTCTCTCTGTTTTAATTTAAAAAATCAGTTTTGGCAACTTTAATTGTATATGAACATGGTACAAGCTTTGGGCTGTATAATTTTAAGTATTGATGAATTGCGAAACTTACCTAACTTCGGGGGGGAGGGGGGGGGGGGGTTAAAGTATTTCTAAAGAAAATATCCACCCCTGCATGAATGAAATTATTGAGAAATTTCAATTACTTGAACGGAATTAGCTTTTGATCTCTTGAAAGTTAAAACGATTTGCACAAAATCCCATGTGCAGAAAATTACCTGGTTAAATATTTATTTTAAATTTCTAAGGGTCAGTTTTAGTAACCCGGTCTTTAATCCCTTTTCACCATAAAAATAAATGTTAAAAATCCAAAATGTTTCAACGGATCTTACAATGATAATTGTAATAATAATATTGATTATAATATTAGTAAAACTAACATCTAATTTTAATGATAAATAATACCCCAGCTTAGTAGTTAAGAATTAAAATGGATATTGGTTGCTTAAAATGCAGGATTATTATTATTTTATGCTAAGGTTACAGAAGCTGAAGAGGTGGACAAACCTCTTTGAAAAAAAGTGTTGGTACTTAAAGGGACTGTTTCCTATTTTTAAGAAATGTCGGAGGTTCAGGTAACAATTATAATATATTTAATTTACCTGTCCTCCGTCTTCATCTCCTCCCTTGTCCTCCTTGTCCACCTGGGCGACCTGAAACCTCGCGGCCTTCACCTTCTTGGCCGGGGTTGCACCTCCGAGAAGCGCGGCCTCGACCTCTTTATCCTCCGTCCCTTCTACAACCATCTTGCTTCAGTCTTTCTAAACAAACATTAATTTTCAAATAATTTTCCGGATTTAGAAAAAAGTAATTTTACACGATTAACTCGTTATTTCAATGAAAAGGGTGGGATTTTTTTACTCCTTATCCGCATGCACTTAGATGCAAGTAAAAAAAATAAATAATCTTTGGTGAAGAAACATATCTTCATTGTCTTTCGAAAAGTACTAAAATCTGCGATATCAATAAAAGTACAAAAACTGAAAATTGCTGGACAAGTAGATTTAGCTGGTTTATTCCCTACTTAATAAACACTTTTTGAATAATACTATTGAGATGAAATAAAGATATCCTAGGGCTCTCAAGGGACAAATATCAAATCTAGAGAACTAAACAATAATAATAAAACATCAGCATTCATCTTTAATAATTTGATAAGTTGGCCTAGATTCATAAAAAAAATTATTAAGGATTTAGGAAGTTTGCTTATCAAATAATTAAACTAGAATTCGTGGAATGGAGGTTAATCTAAAACTCATAAAAACGTCTAATCCGAAACAATGTGGCAATGTAATATTTAAAATCGTGATGTTAAGAGAAGATTTTTTTATCAATTTGACTACAGTTAATTTGAGATGATTAGAAATTGGAATTTTCCCACTTTCATTTTTTTATTTACAATTTTTTATGGACCAAAATGAAATGGAATTTAGCATTAAAAGTAACAAAATTCTGTTTTTTTTTATTTATAGAAAATGTTTGCCAGGAAATCAAATGATTTATCTTTAAAATGAATAAATGAAACGGTTCTGACGTAGGTTTCTTTTTATGATTAGTAAAACTTTACGGTGACAAGAAAAACATTATTAATATTATATACAGAAAAAAAATAACCTATGGTAATTATTCATTGAATATAACCTTTTTCTTTGTTTTGAATATATTTTTCCTCAAAATTTAAATTTAGCAAAAGAAAATTTGAAGCATGTTATCTATTGTAATTTTTTTTAAGAAAATATATATATGTTATATATACACCTGTTGAATAAAATGTAAATATTATTATTGTAGTAACAATAAACAACCATTGTAAGATAAGTAATCACATTACACAGTAAGGAACACGGATAGAAGGATATAAGCAAGATTTATCCATATGAAACTGCTCGGCCCAATAATGTATATTTTGAGTGTTGGAGAAAATTGACAACCCATTGATATTCATACATCTTAAATCATCTTTACAATCAGGGGCGGATACGGTGGGGGCGGCAGGACCTTCGCCCCCCCCCCTGAGATAGCCCCTAAGGGAAAGAAAACCTCGTGCAAAACAGGAAAAATGTGTATCGTTGAAAAAAATCTGGATATTATTGTTCCGAAATAAATCTAGCTAAATCTTACATAAATTCTGTATCCGCCCCTGTTCACAAAAGAAAGAAGAAAATTCTTAAGCAAAATTTAAAAAAGAGAATTCGATTTTTAAGTATATTTTGCTAGTCTGTTCGTAGGTTTGCTTAATGAACATAAAAAACAGTCCGGCCCAAATTTTGTTGAAGGACCGAACATGACTCCGGGGAAAGATAAACGAATAAGTTGGGAAAATTCACCAATTTAACGTGAAAACTACAAATTTGAAACAAAATTAGGATTTTAATTGGAGAGAGGTGTACAACTTTTGTAATATATAGATATATATTTTATATGTACATTACTCAAGATTGATTTAAGAATTAGAGAATAGAGATAATCCAAAAAGAAACATCGGAGACTGGAAGTGTTAAATTTCAAAGGCGCCTTTAACATTTTTAAAGTTAAAAAGAGGTAAGAATTTGAAAACTACGCTTTTCATGGGTGAAAACTATGATTTTTATGGGTGAAGACTAAGAATTTAATTTCTGGGGTGAAAGCTATGATTTTAATTGGTGAAAACTATGAATTTCTTGGGTGAAAACTATGAATTTCTGGGGTGAAAACTATGATGAATATGGGTGAAAACTATGAATTTCTGGGGTGAAAACTATGCTTTTAAGGGGTGAAAACTATGAATTTCTGGGATGAAAACTATGAATTTCTGAGGTGATAATTTTCAGTACAAGTTCCTGTTATCATTTCCTTAATATAGTTCTTAAGCTGTTTAAAGTAAAACGATGTACTTTATATACATACAAAAAGAAGATTAAATCCTTTAGATGGAAAATATTTTATTGACAACGCATGGGATGCAATCTGAAATGAAATATGAACTACAAGCGTGCAATGAGTGTTTCCCTGCAGGTTAAAACACAGTGCATCAGTTATAAACATGAATAAATTTTATAACTACTCTTCTCCCAATAAAAGCCCGACAAACACTGAACCAATAAATCAATTTAAGGCCTAATTAAGGCTTGAGTCGTATACAGCATGCATATCTGCAATTGAGTCATTCTTAGAAGATCATTTTCATTACATGACGTCGTTCAGTTTCTCCTTAACCTTTAACCCCCCGCCCCCCTTCAAGTTCACCTTCATCCCCCCCTCAGATCACCAACCCCATATTTCCCGAAACCCTTAGAATGAAGGGGGGGGGGGGATCCAAGCCACTGGCTTCACTGCAACCCCGGAGCGCTTTTAGAAACCAATTAAGGAGATGACTCTTATTCAGGATGCGCCACTATGTTTGAGAAACTTTTTGCTTTAACATTTAATTTTAGAAGGAGAACAATGTGGAATTGTACCTTTTAACGAGAAAAATGTAAATGCGAGTTAAATTTTCATGCTAATATCAATGCATACCCAAATAATCATCTCATTTTGTTAAAACCCAGTTTTCTTACTTTAACAAGATTCCGTCCCTGAGAATGAACGTAAAAAGTAATTATTGGCGCGGGGGTAGGGGGGGAGAGACTTAAAAAAATATCATTTTAACAATAGATATCTATCAATATTCTACCCAATTCTATTTAAATTGCTTGTAATTCGCGTCTATTTTAGTATGAACTAGAGAAGAAATAGTGAGGTTTTACATAATACTTCTTAAAAGTTCAAACTAGGTTTCGTTGTTTTAAAGCTATATGCATGATAGATGTTCCATGAGCATGAAAATAACAAAGCCTGATATGCGATCAATGTTGACTAAGTGATTCAGTGAACTTTATTTGATTGGAAAATTAGCAGAGTGTCTTAAAAAAAGATAAATTGAGTCAGTTTCATTAAAACAAAAAAGTGACATTCTAGTCTTTTATGTCAACATGAGAGAATGTATCTTTTTAATTTTAAGATGAAATCAATAATACTATTAGTCAGTTTAAGACTGAGACGTATTAGATCTTTAATGAGTATGAAATCAATAATTCTATTAGTCAGTTTAAGACTGAGACACCCTGTATTAGATCTTTAATGAGTATTAATGGTATAATCAACTTGAAGTCTGTTAGTAAACAAACCAATTAAAATACTACGATGCATCCGAGACCTAGAATATTATCAAGGGTTAGGCTTGAATAAATATCAATCAAAACTCATTATAGGGAACGTTTACGAAAAATTTAAGATCTAGAAGGATAAAAATGTAAATGAACTTTTGTTTTGGATTCTCATAATCGAAATAGCTTGATCTCAATATCCACAGTGGACACTTTCAATTTGAGTATCAATGCTTCATTTCATAGATAGAATAAAGACTAAATTAATCTGCAGATTAACAGAAGATCAAGCATTGATCTCCATTAAACAAGAATTCAAAGCTCAGATAAAGGAATTGAGTCTTTGCCACAAACTCTGCTTTTCTAAATCCTATATCTTTGGATTCCAATGTCGTAGACCTTAGATATTTCAAACTATGAATTCTGTTAGATAAAATTATATTAGTTTGAAATATCAAAGATTTACGACATTGGGTTCCAAAGATATAGGGATTATAAAATTAGAGTTTGTGGCAAAGACTCAATCACTTTG